TAAAGGTTAATAATAACGTTAATTAATGCCTACATTTTTTTTGAAAACAATGTTATTTGCGAATAGAATGACATTTTAATAATAATTGTTATCAATGTTCATTTCATATTAATATGTTTTTGTCAATATAGTTTGACGGAAACAAATGGCGACAAATAGGCAGCAGCATCCCAGGAGCCTTTGCCCTCGTTCGACAATTCGATTCTTTGATTCATTAATGGGTGGATATTGGAAGTGCTATAGATGCAATGCAATATTGAATGCCCTATCGGCGGCAATAAGTCACCGGAACCGTGGATGCTCAATATCAATGTCAGAGTAAGTACCTATTGGCTATTATGCTGATGTAATAAATAATAATATTTTTATCTATATTCTATGTGACCATAACTAACTTAGGTTACTCACAAATTGTTGAAGTTAAAAGACTCATAACCTTGTACTTGGCTTATTTTCTATTCCGTAGCTTATTTTTTTTTTAAATTTATAACTAGTAAATAGTTTTTAAAAATATTCGTGATTGATATAATTTTAGACAAGTTAGTGATATTGTGATTAGTTATAACTTATAACTTATAAACAATGCTTTCTTATAATATATAGATACTTCTTAGATACAATTTATATGTATGATGATGATCAATGTACAAACATAAATTTGTTGACCAGACTACTCAATAATATTATGTAATTTGATTTATTATGATTTATGAAGTTGCGCCCGGTGTGTGCCGGATAGGCAACTTAATAATCAGAGTAACGAAATATTTATCTTTGTGCGCCTAAAGTGCACAGGGTATGCAATTTAATTTATTGGACACAATTACAACGGCGACAATGAAAAGAGAAGGTTTTGTGCCTAGAGCTACGACGTAGGACTTATTGTAAATGTTGTTTTGAATGACCAAGTTTGGCAAACTGAATGAATGGACATTTTTGTGAAAATAGACACACACAATTTGAACTTAATGTTGACTATTGTAAATTGTAGTTTTTTATTCATATCATAATATTGTAATAATTTCAATATTTGTTTAAATTTTCTAATTATTTTTCTTAAATTATGATTTTCTTAAAATGTGTACTTGTCATTAAAACGTAGTTAATACATTTTGGGGTTATGGTGGAATTAATTTTAAAGGTAATCAATAATATAAACATTTCTTAATAATTTAAACTTCCCCTCCTCAAGTTACGACATTGATGACATGTGATTGAAATATTTTTTAATAATACTTCAAAATATTTGTTCTAGATGCGTAATCAAAAATGGAGTATATATGTGCAGGGAATGCGGCATTGTTTTTCAAGACTCTCAGTCCTGGATTGATCATGAGGCGGGTCATTTAGCCAATTGCTCACTGTAAACACTAATGCAAACTCACAGATTTCAATAATTTGAATTATAGTTTATAGTTGTTATAACATTATAAATATAATAAATAGTATAAATTATCATGACACAGAAAAAACTAACCTTATTGTAATTATGTAACTATACTCTAAATCCGTTTCTATTGCGTAAAACTGTATTATAAACAATAAATGCTAATTATTTTAGTTTTTGAAATGTAGTATTATATATTATGTCATAATAACATGTAACGTTGTTAAGTATTGACCCAATCGCTGAAGCCGAATTTTTATTCATGACCATTAATGAAAAAAAAATTGTTCTATTGAATATATTGTTAAATGACAAATAATAAACATGTTAATCATACTGTATGTCTGTATACAATGGTTTAAATAGCTTTAAATATTCTACTCTTACATTGTATACCAACAATTAACATGTATAGATATTTGTATTTTCTCATTGTCATAATGGAATTACCTTATAAATGGTTCAATTTTAATTTATAAGTGATTGGATTTTTCAGGCATTTAGACCTATATGAGCTCGTGAAAAATAATCATATTTTAGTAGTCTAATTTTAATTTTAAAACGTATTTGAATTCATTACCATCTTTCCTATGTTTTGTAAGAAAAACTGTTTGATTTTTTTTCATTGACGCTTTTAAGTATGCATTCATTTTGAGAAATTAAGTAAATTAATTTAGAACCATAGTACTATAAACTACATAAACTTTTCAAAATATCGAAAATCTATATCTTACAATACATAGAATATAACTCAGGTCACGAATTAAAATATATTTTTAAATTAAAATTTTACTATTTACCCAGCTTACTGCCGTTATTCATGGTCGTATACTCGAGTACAAATATTTTTTTGACCGTGTCTACGATTATGTATGCATGTTTCTAAATATGTGCTATAGAACACAGTCTCTTCGTTTGTCTTCAACCAGTTGGTAAAGAATCCACACTTGTCACTAGTCATTATTTACAACTACAATCGGCAGCGACGAGATTATGAATTCCTTAAAACAATTCCTCTTAAACAATGGTCACTAAGAGTAGTCTTAAGGGGCCTCGCTACTGCAGTCAATTTTAGCTCGAAAGACCTCTAGTTTTGACATAATCAAGGTTAGTTTACGTTGTCCAATTTTTATTCTAAAAAAAAAAATGGAATTCTACAAAAATTTATCTACAAACCTTATTGAACGCTTAGTAAAAGTTATATCTTATATTATTGTGAACTGTAATTGAACAATTTGTCAAGTCATAATTAAAATTAAAAACCGGAAAGGATTTGGTACAATTTACAGACATTTTTCTGTCGAATTAAAATAATTTTTTCAGAATCAAAATCAAACAATGTTAACTAACTTAAATTGTGTCAAAACATTATGTAAGTTGTCTTAAAATTCGTATACTTATAGGTAGAGAATTTCATTTTGCTATCGAGTTATTGACTTGTGCATGTGCGTACAAGAGTGGTATCCATATTTAATTTCACTCACACTAATAATCATTTACAACTAACACGCACAGTTCCCTCAGAAATTTGATTATAAATTGCCCAAATGTTGAACCTTATCAATATCCGTAACAGAGCTCCTTAACAACGCACAGATACATATTACGTATAATATTATTATAATATACACTCGTTTCGGGCCGATATGGAAGGGGCAATGCGCTCTACGGGAGTGACCCAGTCGAGAAAAAGCCAGTTCGCCACTGCCAAAGCCATTGTATTCTTTTATCTATGGCTAGAGAGCGATGACCAACTCTGATGGTAACATGGCACATACATGAAATGTTCATTAAATGTTTAAATTAGCATTTTCTATACACCATACGATTTTGACTTATGTTGAGCTATTTATAGGCGTATAAAATATTTGATTGTTATAAGTTGTTTTTTAAATTAATGTCTATAAAAAAACTTTCCCTCTGTCAAAGATCTTGAAAATGTAATTCAAGGTTCCACGTAAATTTTTGTGCGTGGAAATTAAAAGAAAAGTCGAGGGTAAATCCACAATAATTGTTTACGAGTCTGAATTTTGAATTTTGACAAAATACCTAAAAACCACGTAAATGTGCAGATTAATTTGAATTAAAAATTCAAATGAATTTTTCTTCCTATATTTAAGATTTGAGACTTAAATTCAGGATTTCTCATGTTTGTCTTTTTTCTATCATTATCAAGAAAAAAAAAAACTTCTGGAAAGTCAAATTAAATTTTTGCAACATTGAATATTCACTAGATTTCTCATTAAACGATTTTCTTATTTTGTCGTAATTCAAAAACGAATTGTAGACACTTTAAATTAACACCAAACGTATGTTTACTTCAGTTCTTCATATGCTTGATAAAATGTTCAAAATATTTTGACTCGTCTTAAGCTGTTGACGTTAATTTTCAATTTTCTTTTTTTTCTATAAATGTCTTTAAAATTGTATTGATTGTGTCCGTAGATACTTGCAATTTACATAAACATTTTATTTTATCATTTTTCATACTTGAGATTAAGTTTTCAAAATATTTTTACTTGCTTTGAGCTGTTCACTGACATTTATTGTTATACATTATTTTAGTTTTTTTTTTCTATAAATGTCAATAAAATTGATTTAATTGAGTCGAAAAGTTTGAAAATTTAATAATAAGTTTCTGATATATTGTTACAACAGCAGTTAAAAACTATTAAATATACATCGGCACAAATTTTTTTAATAGCTTTTATAAAGTTCAAATTTTGACAACATTTTAAAATTTACTCAACTTTTATAGCTAAGAATTGATATACTTTACAAGGTACACATAACTACAAGTAATAGGTTCTCCAATAAAATAATCTACAAATTATATAAAAACTGTTTTTTTGTATGGTTATTTTAAGTTCAAATTTGGACGAATTTACGTATTAAAGAGCAAAAATAATGATTTTTTCATAATTAAAAAATATTATTCGTGGGTGCTTGAAACTTTTTGAGTGGGTATATTATTTTGTTCTATACTTACAATGTCATTTTCAAATGTAATTTTTTGACAACAATGAATTTAACCTATACTGTAATAATAATGGCTAATAGCAAAATTAAATTACTTTAATCACAATAATATCATATAACATACCTACTTAATAATATTTAAGGCTGACCTTCACTCAGTCTTAGCTCAGATTGTTTTTCGTGTATAATGATTTTATGAATGAAATTTTTATTTCATATTCTATGAATCGCGATGGTCACTAATATTTTGATATGGGTTGACTTCAAAATTTTAATTTCAGGGAGCATTTCTTTTAATAAAAAAATAATTGGGGCGTTAAGACTTAGGTTAAAAATTCTGATTTTGAAGTTTAGAACTATTACGAATTAGTTGATAGTTTTTAAATGCGATCAAACTTTGAAATTTTAATTTTGGGGTGCCAGACTGACGGATCTTGCGGTGACAACGATATTCTTATCCCCCGCGGACTACCACTTGGCGAAACCACAACCCAACAAGGACAAGAGGTAAGTTTAGATGACATTAATCAAATAGGCATTTGATTAATGTGCCCATTAATCTAATATTTGTTCTCTACGTAAATTTGTGTTTAATCATATATTTTCTAATAGGTATTGTGTTTTGTTCATAAAATCACATCCACTTAGATTCAACAGTAGTCTTCATGAGTTGGTCTGTTTTTCCATTACTGCAATTGTTAATCATCGTCTCATAAGTGACAAACGCTATCCCATTAACGGGAAAGGCCCGTAAGCAAAGTGACCAAAATCCTCGGAAAAAACTTATTCCGCCACCATTATTGTACGTCTTTTTTGCACAGTCCCACGCACTCTTGTATACCGGCTGCTTGAGGCTGTCCGTAATGATTTTAGATTTGATCACATCAAATGGCAACACCAAAATCCAACTTAGTAAGCCTAATTGAAATCATACAAAAAAAATAATAATAATATATTATTTTTTCTTCATAAATGAGATTCAATAAATTAAATATTTCTGTTACTCAGTACGTACTATGGTTTATTCAATTTTTAGTTATTGTTTACCTGCTACGCCTCCAGACATAATTTGCACATGTATTGGCATCGACTCAATTTTGGTTTCAGAATACGATAATTGCATCATAATGCTACATAAATGTTCATATGAGAGCACATAAATTCCCATACTTTGAACATCTCTAAAAAAATATGATACTTTTCAATGAATATTTTTTTTTGTATTTTAATATAAAAACCTAATAAACAATAATATTCCTCCTCGATATAGTGAACGTATACCCTTGACTTTATAAAGTTCTATCATTAATTTAAATGCACTGGTTGTTTTTGATGGATCACTTTTTTTTGAATTTTTCATATTTTCTTGCTTTAAAGTTATATCTGAAACCAGTTTATTTATGTGTATTAAGGAAGTGAATCGTATTAGAATGTTTACTTCTTGCTTGTAACAATGTTTTGATAACTTCAATTGGTGTGTTTATCAACGCATAAGAAAAACCAGCAATACAGCCTGATATAAATACATCCAAATGCCAATACTTGTGCAAATTTTCAGCATCGCTGCAAAACCTGACATTAATATTCTTATTTGTTTGATTGTCATCACGTTGTACTTGGATTAATCTCATAACGTTACCATAAGTTCTAAAAAATACCGAATTCGCAACACCCACGCTTAAAATTGGAAACATCATTCCTCTAAAATATCCTTTGAACTGTTTAATATAGACGATTTAATGTCATTTATAAAGTAATATTATTTTGTATTTTTTAAGTATAAAATTGATTAAAAATTAAACTTTGTTTTACTAATATTCTAATTATTTTTTTTTCACTTGCCTTATCTTGAATATAAATATCTTTAATGGTTGTTTTTACATTATTATTAGTCACTTGTTGTACTACTTTTACGGTGTCTATTGGATGTCCAATTAATGTAGAAACAATACCTGATAATAAGAATATAATATAATATATATTATTATGCATTCGTAATACTATTAATTATACAAATTAAATAAGTATTAACTAGTATTAATCAATGGTAAGAATACGTATTTTTTGTATGATTAATGATTATTTTCAAACTACTTTATAACAAACCAGCTGTCCATCCAGATAAAAAATCACAAACTGATAAAAACTGTTCATAGGAAACATCTGATTGGAAACTCGACATTTCCGATAAATATTTTCGGTAAAATGGTTTTGAAAACTCCACGGTGAGCAGCAAAACCCCGGTGACTGGTACGGTTTTCACCATTGTTGGCAATAGACCAGAGTACAATTCCCGTGAACTATTACTTAGAATGACATTTCGAAACATCTGAAATTCACTCTCTTTTACTGTCATTTGCACACGGGACTTTATGACATCTATTGGGTATACGATCAACGATGTGCATATCCCGGCTAAAGATCCCGCTACCATTGTAGCTATAGCACCACAGTCTTCTTTTCGTTTAGCGACTGGTTTTAATAGTTCACGTGCTCGTTCGTACACACCGAAGAAAACTGAACACCCTATAAACTCTCTGACTATTGTACATCCCAGTCCTCGATACACACCTTTAAAACCTTCAGATTTCCAAATATTTTTAAAAACTCGATCTGCTGATTCACCTTGCAGTCGTTCTTCATTGCATATTCCTTGCATACGTATTTTTACCAATTCGGTTGGGCAAAGTACCGTAGCCGAAAAAAACTTGAAAAAAATATGAATTATGTGGTTGTAAATATTGACTGAAAAATTAGCTACATCAAGGTTGGGTCTCGGAAATAAAATTTACTAGTTGGTATATTTATATTATTCATAATTTGTTAAATTTTACTAATTTCTATTTTGATTGGCAAGAAACTACAACAAAGAAACTAAAAAAAACATTTTGAACTAAACGTTTTGGTCTAAGTAGACCATTATTAGGGACCCAACTAGTGTAATACCTTTTTATATCCTGTAGTATCGACGACGCTGCCTGAATTTCTTACAAATTACTTCGGCAATATCACCATTATTAATTAATTACAATTAATGACATGCAAGTATACAACTATTTACGAAACTCTAGGGAAGCCAGAGACTACTTTTCATAGCGGTCGCTAATGTAGATGTGTAGACTTCGGGAGACCTGATACTGTCCATTTAATTTTTTTAACTGCATTAGCCAATAAAGGATGGACAGAAAATGCCACCTTATCCCCCTCACAACTTTAATATCATGTCAATTAATTTGTTGATAGAAGCTTTTGCTGTAAGTCGACTACGCGGGAGGGTGTTACCTTGAGTCAAGTAGGCTGCTTAATCATTTCTTCCTCTTCCTTCAAGGACAGTGTCAATCTTACACAGCAGTCTGCGTCTTTCTACTACCTTGACCTCAAACTTCGAACCACAACTAGTGTAATACCTAAAACTATATAGGGTCCAACTAATTTAATACCTGAAAAAATCCGGGACCCAAGTAGTATTATAGTACTATAGATTAGCCCCTTGTACTTGAGACCCAACTAAGATGCGTCGGAAAAGTTATAATACACTATTGTTATACTTATTAAGTTATATTTTTCTCACCATAATGTATATGTTGGTCAATTATAAATACATGTTATAATTATTGTGAATTTCAAATAACCTCTTTTTCCAATAACCTAATTAACCATATTTAATACCATTTTACTCACTGACGCAATACTTCCCGCGGCTGCGTTTTCAATATAATTTAAATCAGTCGTATTGCTAACCCCGACTGATTTTGCAACTATTTTCTGGCACTGGCCGTAAGTGCCGAACATAACCGCGTCATCGGCACCATTTGAGGCTAGTGCCGGTAGTATACCCGCGTACAGACCACGAAATCCTTGTTGACGGACAGTATTTGATAAACATGAGATCATACCGTCGTACATCTGGGGAAACAGTTGCATTTTCACCTTGACTGTGTCCAGTGGTTGGCCCACGAACACGGACGCAAATCCTCCGGTAACACCGGCTAACACATCTACCAATAGTGTGAAATCCATCTCAAATGTCTATAACTGTGTTACTTATTTATTTTGCCCTATTTGTATAATACACGAATTAGGTATAACCTACCGCGGACTTTGGGATTGAAATAAATATTGAATGCACTCATCAATAACACGTTTTCAATATTTCCTAGCAACAGTTAATGTGATTGGAAATTAATACTTTTAGAATTACATACTTGTAGTATTATGTGTATAATTTATCTATTGCTGTACTTTTTGTTTTCAATTTTAATTTACTTTTTAATAGAATTTATATTTACTAAAATGATTTTATAAACTATATATTTTTAATTTTTCAAAGTATTAGATATAAACCTTGTATAGTGTTAGTCTACACCTCTAAAAACAATCTAGGGAACTTTCATCTAAATTGGTCGAGAAGTTTTTGAGTCTATAAGCCAGCGGTTATCAAAGTGTGCAACTCGGTGTCTTTACAGGGGCACCTCTAAAATTTTATATGGTTCAAAAAAAATTTGAAAACACGACAATGGAGCGTACAGTAATCAACAATCTGAAGACGTTTAATATTTATTTTAAATTGGTCATCATCAGGGGCGGACTGGGGCAACATTTAGGCCCGGGAAATCTATATTTTGACCCGGCCCTTGCCATTTCTCGTCATCACAAAAATATAAAAACTTAAATATACCAACGTTTTATTCAATGAGGAATGCAGCTTCTATACATTTTCAATTTTCCCAGAAAATAACTTAAGATTTTTTTTTTCATTAATTGTTTATGGCATCAACTAAGAGGTTATTAGCCAGGGGTTTTTGGGACTGTTGGGTTCGGAACTCGTGTGAAACTTAAGATTTGTTAAACTAAACTTACCAAATGGTTTCAATATGTAATTTTAATTTTGTTTAATATTAATGGAGTACTTCACAAATAAATAATATATTGGTAAAAGTCATTTAATCATAACATAATAATATTTAATACCTTATGTAAAAATATAAAATATTATGACACTTATATTGTAGTATACTAACTTTTATAAGTTATAACTAGAGTTAGGATGTTGATGACTTTTGCATTTTTTTTCCTTTTATTCTGTACAATGCTATCCTAGCTAAAAAATTGTTTCATGCTCCCTTGATGCAGAATATTCTAATTTTATTTTGCATTTTTTTTGTTTTTTAACGTCATTTTTCAACATTTTTAAGTCATTTTTTCATCTTTTAGGGCATTTTTTACAAATTATAGATTTTAGGGCAAATGTTACACCCAAGTTTGGAAACAAATTTAATTTATTTAAAATCTAACTTTGGATTTGGACTATTAGTAAAAAATAATTTTAATATTATTATTGTGGGGTTTTTGTTGTGATTACATTTATCGCGTTCCGATAAGATTTACTCTTTGAGTGTTATATATTGAATTATTTAAATGCTTAATATATTTATAATTCATATTTTAAATTACTATTACACCCATTATTATACCCATATCTCTAATAAAAATTATTATTTATAAATAAGTTTTTTCACTTACTTAATTAGTATTTTAGATAATTTTTAAGGTCATTTTTTGAAGTTTTCAGAGCAATTTTGCACTTTTTTTAGGGTTTTTTTGCATTTTTTTTAGGGCATTTTTGTGTGTTTTTTAGGTCATCAACATCCTAACTCTAGTTATAACTAGATTTAACTCATTTTTCCTTTGGAAATAAATTAAATTCATATTGCATACCTATTATTTAAAAAAAATACTAGGGAAAAATAATAATTTTAGGTAATAGATAGGTATTTACATTTTTAATGCTTATTTGCGGTTGATTGCAAAGATTTTCTTGCATTACTAAAATAATATATTATTCAAATTATTGATCATACGCAAACTCCTGATGGAGTATCAGCCGAACCAAAACCTAAAATCTATTTTTAAGCACCAAATGTAAACAATTTTTCATACACGCGCGTAATGATAATATGAAAATATAAAATATTCATCATTTGAATTTATACCTATTGGCTATTTTATTTTAAGTAATAAGTAATGTAATAATAACAAATTATTTTTGAACAGCAGCCCACCGGGAAAGTTCCCGGTTTCCCGCCGGCCCAGTCCACCCCTGGTCATCATTTAGGTGAGTTACACTTTTAGGGTACATAGTTCAATGGTTCGAATATAAAAAAAAAATATTAAAATATTAAACTTATCTTTTATGGAGTACATATTATGTTTATTTAAAATATAAATGACGTCAATGTAGTTGTGACTTACCACCACAAAAACAAACTACTCTTCATGATACAAAGCTCAACTCTTGTCTTACACCTAATGGTGATTTACGGTACATGCAAAACAATGAATTTTATAATCGCTAATCGCTATACTTACTTAGTAACTGTCCCTAATAAATGTACATGAACTTCAATATTTAGGTTTATTTATAATAATTATCTAGTATGGTTGGGCCTACCACGCGAGCTCTCATTTTAATTTAACAATGTTTATTTAAATTTTAAGGTATTGAAAGTTTTGAATATAATATTAAGGATCATATTTTCAATTATTATTTGAATTTAATTTCTACAAAATCAGCTCAATAAGTGACAGTCAATTTGACACTAAAAATATTTGTTGTCATTTGAAAAAAAGAAGTTTCGTCACAGGACAATAAGTATTGTCCTAAGATCTGTCGTATACACCGATGACCATAAACGAATAAATAATATAATAAACATCCAAAATAGTACCGACAATATTCACTTTCCCACGAGAAAAGATACTGAAATTAAAAATTGAAAAAAAAAACTACTTCAGAACAAAAAAAATTTCCTCCCCGGCGGGGAATCGAACCCCGGTCTCCCGCGTGACAGGCGGGGATACTTACCACTATACTACCGAGGACTACGACTGACACATAGATTTTTATCTTATTTCATACTTCCGTTTAGAATGTAAATTTTTTACAAATACCTACTACTTCTGGTTCAATTATTAATTTCATGAAATATCTTCAGACGTCATGTCTTTAGAATCAGAGATCAAGAAATGTAGGTGATAAAATAATTAAAAGTAAAATACAGTAATATTAACTAATAATATACTTTTCTTTACCTTGCAGTAGCAAGTAAATCATCATTTTCTAAAAATAAATACGTTTCTTATACTTTTGGTAATAATCTCGGAAATAAAATGATAATTACTGCTGTGCCTGTACGCCTGTACCGAAATGGAAAGTGATCATTGTTCCAAGCCTTTTTGAATACCAACCAAATATTTAAAGTTTTCAAATAATAAATTTTTTTCTTTTATAAAATATAAAATATACTATATACCACTATAATTATTAGGTTTGTAAAAAATAAAAATAAGTCTATACAAATAATAATATAGTACATATCTGTAATGCAAAGCATTTTTATATACAATTATGTAATAGTTAAGACTAGAAATAGTATTAAATAGTATTTTTTAAATGTTTACACATACGACAACAGTAACATTTGTAAAATTTAATACGACTTCGAAGTATGGAATGGCAGAAAGCTTAATAGAGCATTTAAATTATAACTTCGACATTATTTTGTTTTGGTTTTGGCTGACTGATACTAACATAATATACAAATAAGATAGGTATATAAAAATCAAAAAACTATTTAACTTACTATTCTTTTTCAGGACAATCTGATCTCTAAATATCATTGTTTCACTGTCTATAACATACAACTATTGGGAAGTTTACGAATTACGATGATATGAAAGACAGTATCACTGTATCAGTCAGCCAAACCCAACATAAAATAATGTCGAAGTTATAATTTATACACTTTAATAATGTCCTTAATACAATTTTGATTTTAATTATAATTTTAATAACTACAATTTTTGAAAGCGATGGTACACATTTTTAATATTTCATTTATAAAAGTTTAAAATATATTTTACAAAATTAATTAAAGTTGTACTTATTTTGTATACAAAATTTTTCCAGCAGGTGCATAGCAAAATCGAGTTTACTCGTACTTTTTTTTTTGGGGGGGGGGGACGTTCAAAATTCTACAAAATAAAGTACATAAAACTGTATAAGTTAAATTTCAATTTTACAATAATTGGTTAATGGCAGTATTGAGTTAACGTCATTGCAGCACGAGCATGAGAAATCGTGTTTTTTCAGGTCTTTGAGAGGTGCACGAAATTTTATTTTTGCTGTAAAAAATTGCAGAACAAAAAAAGTACGTAATAGTTTTTAATTGAAAGTTGAATTTTTTCAACTATTGACAAAGATATAGTGCTGAAGATACGTACCTATATGCACGAGTGTAAGACGTATTTACAGCAACAGGAGTTAAGTTATTGTTATTAATAAACTGTACTCATATAATATGTAGCCTGCCTAAATCTACTTACAGGATAAATATTTGTATATTTTACAATATTATTTATTATCTCATCGAACATTGTAACTTGTAATATATAGATAAGTACTTAATACTAGGCGTCACCAATTAATATTTTTGAAGAGCTCGAAAATTTTTATATTTCCCAAAACTAAAAAAAATGTAAGGTGAAGTGGACATTTTTGAACAAACCTATACGCAGCCATCTAATGTGCCTTTAAAATAAATAATAATTATTCTTAAAAAAATTTGAATATTTCGTTCTTGTAGATTATGCTATGTTTATTTCTTTTAACTAACCATATTTTCAATTTTAATACATAATTTCCATACATAATAATTTCGATTATTCACATCTGCCAGCCATGATGGTTCACTTTTTTTTTTTGACTGAGGGCCGGAAAAAATTTGTCTGTGCCCTGTGGACCCGAAATTTGGTTACACCTGCCATATATTATATACCTACAAAATGTTACCCGACTTTATGTTTATCGCTTTACGTTACTTTTTAATTTCAAAAAGGACATTAAAAATAAAGTTACTTTTTAAAAAATGAATTACAAGATCGGTCCATAACGACTAATAACTTATAAGTAGTAGGTAATTTTAATGGATTTACGCTTATATGGGCGTAATCAAGGTAGT